GGTATATTTTTTATTAGAACTAAAACAGACCACTCCGCCTTTGTTAGTTATTATTGCCTTATTATTTTCTAGTTGTTCTGAGAGTGTCTATCGTATTTTCCTTAACAAAACTGTATTATCCTGAAGCTAATGCTAATTTATGTATTTCCCCTCTATTCTCCATATTAATAATTGCTACCATTTAGAATGCTGCTTCCACCAACCCTTTATCTGTTTTTATACTGACAACAAATCCCTATTACTGTGCCCATTTTATAGATGAGAAAACGGAGGCTTATGGAGCCTAGCATATTATTTTTCCATAAGGAAATGTTCAGCAACCCTAGTTGAATAGAATGAAATGGGCATTGAAGACAATATGTGAGGTGTTGATATATGGGACTAATGATATTCATTCATTCCCCAAACTGAGTACTGCCCAGAAATGCGGTTGTAGAAGTTAATTCAACCAGTGTTTGTTGAGCAACTACTCTCTGTAAGATGTTTTTTCAGGTTTGAAAGAGGAAAAAGGCATGGGGACTCAATTAGGAACTCATCTGCCTTTTAGGATGTTTTTGCTTTCCAGCTTAAGTTTTCTGTATCTTCCTCACTTCAGATTTACAGTGTGTTCATAATAGATTAAATGAGACATCTTGAGGACATACCTAGCTAAAAGCATGTCGCAAAGAAACCTTTGTCTCTTTAAAAACAATTTTTAAAGTTTTTAAAAATTAGGGTTTTCGGATGGCTGAGGTGGAAGGATCGCCAGAGTCCAGCATGTCGAGGCTGCGGTGGCCGGGAGTGGCCATTGCACTCCAGTCTGGGCGACAGAGTGAGACTCCAACTCAAAAAAAAAAAATTAGGGTGTTTTTTCTTAGTTGAGAAAAAAATTGAGCATGACTTCCATCCTCCCTTTCCTTTCTCTTCTAGTCTGTGCCTATTTTTCTCATTCATTCATGCATATTTACTAAGAATATTTTTCTATAACATGATGGAGGAGAAATCTTACTTCTAGATACAGAAAACACCTTTCTAGAAGCATGCTTGGTATACAGTAGACTCCTGTTAATAGATAGCATTTTTTATTTGCACTTTTTAAGTCCTGTTGTTTCTTTATTTCTTTTCCTCCGTCTTCCTCTCCCTTCCCTTTCACCTTTCCTTTCTCTTCCTTCTCCTGTTCCTCCTCCTCCTCTACTTCCTTCTTTTTCCACAAATATGCCTTACTGATAACATCTATTTATTGGAAATTGCAGAATTATAAATGAGTCCAGAATTTTTAAAAACTCCATATTCAGTTATTTTCAAAGCTGTATTAAACACTATATTCTTTAGTGGAATACACTATATTCTTTAAACTATTGCATACTTCATCTACTCAGTGTACTTAGATATGTGAAAATTTATATTTATACTAGAGTTATTTGCTCATTTATTTGCTTTTGTCTTTTATTTTTAGTAAAGCTCTTCTGAACTGAGATGAAAAGACCCCAAATTCCTTAATACAGGGATCTTCAGAAATCACAATGACCTGCCGAGTTTTTTGAGGCTGTGATGAAGAATCAGTGAAAAATCTAGACAGTGATTCCATCTAAATTAGATTGGCTTGGATAAATGTATATTTATCTTTTTTCAGAATTTTGTAAGTAAGGCGGTTTTCCTGCACATTAAATTTTATTTCCCAGAAAGATATCCTAGTGCTTTAAGAGTATGGTCAAAGGCACATTTGAAAAAGTAAGCGTAATTGATTCTGGAAAGAAACATTTCGCTTTCAGCTGCTGTTCTAGCATAAGACTTGGGAGTATGGAAAGAAAACAGGAAGATCAAGTGTGAATCTACTGTTAGGTCAGTTTACTTGCACAGGTGAACTCTTGGTGATTTTGACAGAGTAGATATCCATTTGTCACATATCCCCACATAGTAGCATTCTGCTGGCTCTTCCCCATAGAGCGTAGCAGATGAAACTACTTAGGATGGAGAAAGGCATCACAGAGTCAGGCCATGTATCTCTAAGAGAACATTCAATAGTGAATTTCTGATCCTTCTGGTAGATTCCTTCGTGTTAGTCTGGTGCATCTTTCTTGCCTCTGTGGTATGTTTGCATTTTTCTATAAAACTTATTTGATGCTTCTATAGGAAAAAGGAAATAAAAAGACAAAAATCAACACCAAAATTTGACAAAGGAAAATTAAGCTTTAAATTTTATCATAACCTTTCAAGTATAGTATACCATTTTCTGAGTATTTTTTCTAAGGAAAGGTATTTTTTCTAAGGAAAGGAATGCCAACAGTTTGGTTTGTTTTTCAACGGAAGAGGGAAAGGATAAAAAGAAATTGAACCACAGGAAAATGTCAGGTCATAGTCACTGATGACGCTATTTAAATGGTGAGCTATAATCATATTAGGGCAGAGCACATGGAATTCCAGTTTTCTGCATGACAGTGAAGAAGGTCCGGCAATTATCTATTGGTGTGTGTGGATATGTGAATGTCTGTTCATTCTACCTTCCCACTCCATTTTGCTAATTCAATTGAGGGGCAAGAAGAGGTAATCCAGACAGCCGGAACAGGAGGAAAAGGTCTGCAGCTGTGCTCGGAGGGACTGGTGTGAAGAGAGGCTCAGTCTGACTTGGAGTTTTGTGCTGTTGCACGTGAATGCTCTGGAACTGCCCTAATCGACTGAAAATGAGCCGGCTACAGTCATATGGAACAGGTCTGTTTAGCCACATCGCTGGGTAGCCTGGCAGATGGTACACCGTCAATGGGTGGTATTGATTGGCTGGATTTGCCTTAGGGTAACAAGACTATGGGTCCTTAAAAACCCGCTTCATCTTATTTTCCTTTGTGCAGCTACGTACAGTAGTGGTTTTCTCTTCTCACTCCCCCCAGTTTCCAATATCTCTCTTTATTCTTTTCAAATTAAAAGTCTTCCTTGGTAATCAAAATAGAGAGGTTACCTTGAGATAAACACTCTTTAAATTATCACCAAGGCAAGAAAACTTGAGAATATTTTATTTACTAGGCTGATTACATTTTAATGTTTGAAGAAAGTGACATTTTTTAATTAGTGTTTAAGACATATGGTGAGTGTACAAATTAGCTTATTTCATACAACTAGAATTTGATGAGAGCAACTCCTCCTTCTCACTCCCCAGTTAAAAATTGTCACTTGAAACTTAATATATGCAAGGAGGTTAAATGATATTAACTAATGCAGACTTGACTTCAAAATGAAGGAGACAGTCGCTTATGTGTATGGCTAAATGTTGTCTGGGTGGGCTGGAAAATACTAGTGTTGACACCTGTTTTTGCCAGATTATGTGGAAGTTCCAGAGCTTTAATTTTGTCCAGCCAAGAAAACAAAAATCACAGGTATCTGTATGTGTTATTTTCTGTTTCAGACACATGGGAACATAGAATGGTGCATGTATGCTTTGTAAGTAGTGAGATCCTTCTTAAAAGCAGGCCATATAACAATATGTTATGTAATTTATTTTTGTTCAGGTGCTTCTATATCCTTTTAACATCTCTCCTCCATCACTTGTAGTTTTCAACTTGGGGCATTCTATTTATTCTTGGCAGAAGAACAGATTAATTGGAATAGAGTGGTACAAAAGAGACGCCAAGTTAGCTGTACATCCAAAATAGTATATGACCGAAATGTTCCACTTTGAGGCAGATCTTAGGGAATAAAAACAGCAATGGATAGAGATATGTGATTGGTTTGAACTTGTAGTTGTTTATCACTATTCATATACTTGTGTTTTAAAAAGAGAGACTTAAGACTTTTTGTCTTTTTCAGTGTCTTTAATTTAAGCTTTTGGTTATTTCCTATCAGGAAAGACCATATCAAATAAAACTAATGGTCTACTTAGAGGAGAAGTTGCACTCTTCTCCATCTTCTCTTGCCTCCATCTTGTGTGTGCTGATCCTCATGCACACTTTTGAACTGGTTTTTCATTACATGTATGACTATTTTTCTCTTTTTCCTAAGTATTTGCCTTTTGAAAAGTATTTAGGAAAATATGTCTGTGTGGCTTTGGTTTTCCCCCTTGCTGTGTGTTGATTGTATTTTCCTTGTTCATCCTTTGCTGAATGAAACAAAGCTTGTTTGTGTTTTGTTCTTCACAGTTCTTATTAGAATTGATAGTAGTGTTTTGTTTTGTTTCCTCGATTTAAGTCAGGAGAAGGAATTTTATTTATTTATTTTGACAAGATACAGTGAAAGACAATCTTGCCTGTTAGGATGCTGGTGTTTCTCATGTCACATCTTAACCCAAAAGCTATTCCAAGGAGGGAGAAAAAAAAGAAAACAATCTTTTAAGATGGTTCATTTGAATCTGTGCACTCTACCCACCTGGTGGTTATATAGTGAACTGTTACTTTAAAGAGTAGTTTAAACACCAGCCATGTTTGGGGCAGGCTGCTCTTGCAAAGAGAGCAGTACATATAACAGGAGTCTACTGTGTGTGAGATAAGGGGAAAATTCAGCTCACTGACTAGAGGTTTTAATGTGCGAACTCTAGGGAAATAATATATTGACTGTTCTGTGGCGCGCAAGAAAATTGAAGAACCCTTTGCAGACGGAGTGCTTTGCAAAGGATTCTATCTGTTTCTCTTAAAACAAAATCTGTGGCAAGATGTTTGAAATCAGCAGGACGCTTAATGCTGCTTTGTTAAATAATGAGGTAATATTTTGTCACTTTTTTCTGGGCAGCATCTGTTTTTCCCCCCCCTTCATTTTTTCCCCTATGTTTATAAGGGATTCTTTTTTTTTTTTCCTCTCCCCCTCCATGGAAGTCAAGGAAATACATTTCACGCTTCCATTTCTGATTTCTGTTCCTTCCTTTCGATGCTTTTGGAGAATTTGGTTGTCTTTTTTTATTTGCAGTTTCAGCCGGCTGCTGTTTCTTAGCCCATTGTGCCACGTAAGGCTTCTCCACTGCGCGGAGTAGGTAGTTATTAACGCTGAATTGGCTTCTGGTACAGTCCATCTGGACTCTGTGTGGGAAAGCTGGCTGCCGGCGACTGATGCTGAGATATCTGCAACCTTTGGGATGTGTGCATGGTGGCGAGGGGCTGACTGATATGAGATTACTTCTTTTAAGGGAAATTGTTATTAATGAGTCAAGAAACTGCTCATTTATGGTAAGAGGGATGCAGCGGCGCTGGCAACCCCACAGTGCTGGGATATCATTTTTAGGTTGCCTTTGCTGCTTGAGTGAGACAAGTTTCTTTCTGTGGTGGTGGAGGATTGTGGCGGAAAAAAAAAATCATGCATGACTGGGAGACTCGCCTGCCTGAATCTTGAGATAATATATTGAGAATCTGTTGCTTTACAAATGTCACACCACTGATGTAGCGGTCAGCCCCTCACTCTGAAAGATGAATGGTACTATTGGAAATGCGATAATAAGGTTGACTTTTCCCAACAATAGGATTCTGCCTTTGTCTTTAGAGAAAAGGCCTCTAAGGACATTTGTGCATTTGTTTGAGGATTCCATTGAAAGACTTTGGAGTGGATGTTTTTGGAGAAGTGATCAATATACAAAATGCATGGATTTTTTTTAGCCTAGCAAAACCAGCTGTTTATACTGTATATACAGTTACTATTTAGGAAAAGTGGCCAGAATATCTTTTGATATACCTCATGTTAATTCATAGTTTATTAAGTATATTGAGGTTAGTATGGCTGGGAGAAAAGCGTTTTTTAAAATTCCGTCTTTTATAACCTGCAGAGAAATACTAAGTAAATATTTTGTTCCAAGCGAACTGTTTTTATCTGTGTATTTGTCAGCATTGTTTTAATGTTTACTTTTCAAAATATTTTAATATTGGTGTGATTGCACTCAGTTTATGTTGTACATGTATCTACCCTGTGTACATATACCGAGCCATTTAAAACACTTAACCTGAATTTATCCTTAGTGCACAGTTCAACAGATACTGTAGTATTATTGTGACTCAGGACGTTTTATGCATTTGCTAAAGAAATTATTTCAAAAGTTTATTTAATACAGTATTGTTTCACTTGAAAGGATTATAGTTTTCACATTTTTACTTTTCTATTTCATGTATTTTCATTTCTAATAACTGAACTTATTTATATTCAAGTCAAATAGTTCATGCAGTATACCCAACACATATTGCTTTATAGTGTATATGTATTTTTTTAAGTGCGTGTATATATGTAAGTTTATGTGTGTGTGTCCATGAAACAGCAGCTTGGAGAGAATAGTTTTAATCTTTAAAAATGTAAGGTTGTTTTCTTTTCTAATAATTTTCTTTTACAAATCCATTTTTTCTTGGACTTTGAAGCCCAGAAGTGTAACATGTTTTTCAACCTGTGTTTATATGCTGCCTAGTTCTATCTCGCTGTCAACTCCAGTCAAAGATTAAAGATTATGCTGAATTATGTCTTTGCTAATATTTGTTATCTCTGTGTACTTATTGAGAAACAGATTGATTAAATTATGAAATTATGAATTAAATAGTGATGAACTAGTCTTTTGCATAGATGTGAGCACAGATTTCTCAGGTAAGCCACTGAGAAACCCAAACTAGAACAAAAAAGATTACTACTGGTATATTTTGGTAGCATAGAGGTTATAAAATGTGTTGCATAGACAAGCAAACTGTATACATCACCACACACTTGCTAAATGTCTCTTTGCAAATCTTTTAAGAGGCCAAAGAAAAAAAAGACATCCATTGAAGAAGAGAAGCAAAATCACTTGTTTAGTTAAGCAAGATGAAAACTCTGCACAGGTTATGAAATGAGGCTGTTGTCAAAATCATGTTTTACCTTTTTCTATAGTGGTAAGGAAAGCAAAAGGAGAATGTGCTTTAGTGGATTTTTAAAAATTCAGATCATGCCCTTAATCCAAGTTGAGAAATAAATTCATTTAAATAAATCATTCATCATTCTCTGTTTAGAAAAGCTCAGGCAGAAGGCAGAAAGGTAGAGGCTGACAGCTGCCCCCTCTCCTCCCCACCCCCATTTTTTTTTCTTTTTTGTTTATTAAGAAATAGTTTTCTGAGGCAAACTTGCACAAACCTAGTTCACAGAGCAAGATTAGTTCCCAACTTGCTTGTTTTTGAAATGTTGGCCATGTTAGCTGCAGAAGAAGCATTACTTACTAAAAATCAGCAATATTGGGAAATAATAAAGTTAAAATGCAGATGAATTAGCACATTAAAGTGCTTTTGTTGTATCTTTAAGCCTAGAGGCAGATCATTAAATATGCATTTCACTAGAAAGCAACTGTCTAGAAAGATAAGGTGGTTGGAAATATTCTACACTGGAAAAGCCCTCCATTAGAAGAGTAGGATGGTTCAACCTTCAGGACAGGGGAAAAGGAGGACACTCCCACTGTTAAGGTTTTCAAGACTCCAGTGACCTGCAGTTGTTACAGTACTTTTGAGCTGAGAGGAGGGAAAAGGTAAAAATACAAGTATGGCTGTTGTTGCTTCAGCCGGGCCTTAATTACCAGACACAAGAAGCAGTTCAGAAATCTGGTCTCTGTTGTTGTAGAGGTCACCAAATCATTAACATCGTCAATCTGGCAGTAGCTAATTTAAATAGCACCTGATGTTGCAACGCCTTCCTTCGTTTCCCTAGCCAATCAGATCCTGGCTTCGGCTGACAGATGGTCCCATAAATGGATGTAAAAAGGGGAAGCTTCGAGCCAATTTCAGCAAGGCTCTGTTCAGTTGTTCTTATCTACATCCTAGAATCGGGGGTTTCAGCTCACTGCTCCTTTTCTTTCTTTTTTTTTTTCTTTCTCTCTCCCCCGCCCCCTTCCAAATAATTGATTTACTTTGCAATCATCCGCACTGTGTTTTGTGGATCTTTAAATATATATAACAATAGTAGTCATTTTAAAAATATATTCTGAAATCTTTGCAAATTTTAAGAGAAGAGTCGAAGCTCTGCGAGACCCAATATTTGCCAATAAGAATGGTTATGGTAGGTATGACTAGATTTATAATCTGTTGTTTGTGTTGCTGGAGGGAAGAAAAGCATCTACACCTTGGCCAGTCTTATGCTTGCACAAGAGTTTAGTTCTCTGCTGCTGTTTGTTTCCTACATTTACTATCTCTTTTGTGTAGAGAGTGCGGGTAGGTCCTTTTATTGAAAAGCAGTGGGGATATAGATTGTCATTTTAACAGGTCGTTGTCAGTTTTCCCTTTAATATAAAGGCAGAGGGTGGGGGGGGTGGGCTGAAATAATTGCTGGTTTGTTGAAATAGGTTATATTACTTGAGATCATAATGGCAAAAGAAGGGTTTTCTTTTTGTAAGGGAGTGGGGGTTTGTCTATGTGCCTGGGTTTTGTGGGGTTGGGGGTGGATGCAGCAGGGTTAGGAATCTCTCCATTTCCGTGCTGGAAATTTAAACCTCGAGAGGCAGCTCCCGGATACTGAGCGTCGAGATGGGCAGTTGTGTTTCGGGGGACTGCGCAGTCAAAACGGCAAAGAGAGTGATTTATTTGGGCTTCAGTAAATGCTGCATCTTGTATTTCAAAGAGTTTCCTGTCATGACCTCATAAAAAAGAGGAGGCGGCTTGTATGTGTAGCGGTGCCTGGCGTGTTGAGTTGTTGCTTCCTTCTCTGGGCAGCAGCTCTGTAAGAAGGAATGTCAGCTTTTACATAACGTTTCTTTCCGCTTTTGACACACTGTGTGAGGGTCCATCTTCTTCTGATCACAGATGGAGTGGAATGGCTTGAAGATGGTAAGTGAAAAGAGGAAGGCAGCCTGGAGGTTCCAGCCCTGGGTGTGCGTGCGTGTGTGTGTGTGTATGTGTGTGTAAGGATGGGGGACTGTGCATCGTAAATCACTGTGCTGATCATTTGTGTGTGTGTGTGTGTGTGTGTGTGTGTGTGTGTGTGTGTATTTATTAGTATTTCTTTTTTCTGAGAACCAGAATCCATCTCCAAGTGTAATGGCACTGCATGCACACAAGGCACACACACTGCCTCTTCCATCAAACACACATTTTAGCCAAGCAAGGCTGGTGTCTTTTTTGACAATCAATGTCACCGTCACTGTTGGCTGGCGTGTCCACCGCCTCTGTGAGCCTTCAGCGGAATTACACGACTGCTAAAGTTAAAGGCACATTTCTTTTTCAGTCTCATGCTAGGAGTGATGGGGAAGGCTGGGAATGAGGGGTGGAGGAGGTGACATTCAGTACCAGCAGATGCAATTGTGAAACAGGACTTTCGGATGTGGAAGGGGAAGTGGAAAACCTTTCTGCCGAAGTAGTAAATCTATTTTTAGCATCATCTTTTTCTGAAAAAAGAAGCAGGGAAACTCCTTGAGTGCCGCTTCTGTCGCCTGAGGTTGACCCTGAAGATATGGCACAAAATGGCACGATCACATGCCACGAGTGCCCACTTTGACTTTGAATTTTCACCAGCAATAGATTTCATGAGATTTCAGAGCTGGGTATGGTGGGGAGGCTGTAAATTCATATCCGTGTTACTTATTTTTCCCTAGAAAAGCCTGGGAGGACTTTTCGCTCTGCATAGATGTTATAACAAAGCTGTGGTCTTTTTCCCATTCTTAGAGGATTGCCTTTGTCTGGCTGCTTGTTTTGATGGGTGTAAAACAAATAAGATTAGACCGAGCAGCCCAACTGAAAGCGATAGCTGGGAGGAAAACCCAATGAAAGGTTGCCGGGGAAACGAACAGAGGAGAAGCCGAGTAGGGAGCAGGTGGCTATCATGAGAACACACTGCAAACAGTGTAAAAAAAAAAGATGGGGGGGGACAAGACCTCGATTATCTTTGCTGTTCTTTGTGGCCGGCCCAACTTTAATTATTCCTTATAAATAGGTGTTAATTACATTTCTAACTCTGGTTTACAGTGATTTTTTGGAAATCTATTTTTAAGCATCTGTTCTGTCTCCCCTGATTTTTTTTTTTTGTTGTTGTTGTTGTTTAAAAAACAGAGAGAAGGAGAGGGGGAAGGGAGGGTAGGGAATCTTGCTCCCCCCCCCATTTTCCCTGCTGTGAAATTGTACGTGCGAAAAATCGCAAGGAATCCTGTGAGACCATTTGAAAAAAATGTAAATTATATTGAATGAAGTTGACGGAAGCATAATAGTGAGCTCCCACAGCTGATAGGTTCTGCAAATGATTTCTTAGA